TTTCTTTTCAGATTTAACCCATTGGAATATATAATTATTTAAAGTGTGTATACATTTTTGGGGAATATATATATATGTACACGCACATAGAGAGAGAGAACTCCAGGAAGAAAATTACAAGTCTACTATCAGAGTAGAATATTTTAACATATCCTTTTTAAATATTGAAAGATCAAACAGACAAAAATTTGATAAAACATTATGAAATATTTGAACTATTAGGTTAAAAACCTTGGTTTATTGGGCAAATAAAGAGCCTTGTACCTAACAGGATATTCACCTTTTCAAGCTCACATTTATTAAAAAATAACTATGTACTAAACCATAAAGCAAATTTCAGCACATTTCAAAGAATCATATTATACCTATACATAGTTCTCTGAATGCAGTATAATTAAATTAGAAGGCAATAACAATAAGATTTTTTTTTAAATCCATTAGATTAAAATTGAGAACAACACTTCTAAATTACTCATGGTTCTTAACCAATCAAAATTGAAACTGAAAACTACTTAGAACTGAATGAAAATAAAATGTGTCAAAATCAGTGGAATGGAAACTAACATGTAGAGAAATGTATAGCCTTAAATGTTTAAATTCAAAAGAAAGGCCTAAAATTCATAAGCCAGGTTTACAACTTGATGTAATAAAGAACATCAGAGTAAATCCAAAGAAAATAAGAGGCAGGACGTAAAGAAGATGGGAGAAATTGTTCAACAAAGTCAAAATTTGGTTCTTAGAAAGGGGCCCATGAAATAAAGCTGTGGCAGGATTGTGGAGAAACGGGAGAACGCAGCAGCAAGTGAACAGGGAGGCGTGTGTGCTCAGCCTCTAAAGTTTCTTGAGCCAGCCGTTCTTCCAGCTCTAGGTGTACCCCAAAGATCACAGCACTCAAAACTCCCCCGCTCTGCAGAGCTTCTGAGCCGAGAGGTAGAGCAGGAGTGTAGGCGGGAAGAGAGCCCCGTGAGCAATGTTATGCCGATACATTGAGAACTTGTGTGAAAATGGACAAATTTCCAGAAATGTAAACTTTACAATAACTGACTTAAGCTAAAAATATAAAGTCTGGATTATTTTTTAGCCATTAAACCTTCTTGCAAAGAAAACATGCCTTAGAGACAAGTTCTACCAATTTTTTTAATCAAAAGATATTATCAGTTTTAAGTAAACTCCAGAGCATAAGAAAAGAGGCGGCGCACTTTTTAATCCATTCAGGGAGGCCAGGATATCCTTGATACCAAAATTAGACAAGGAGGGCATTAGAAAGGAAATCCATGGGCCTGTCTTACGCCTGGATATAGATGCAAGTATCTTAAGCAAAATATTAGCATATCTCTCTAGCCATGTGGAAAATGGATAATACATCATGGCCGAGTTGGGTTTGTTTCAGGAAATAGGAGGGTGATCTACCATTGGAAAATTCATAAATGCCATTTGCACTGTCAGAATATTAAAGGAGTAATGATCTAAATTGATGTGGGTAGATTATTTGATAAAATTAAGTATCCTTTCATGACCAAAAAAACGCACATAAATAGTACCTACTAAAAATGTACAGCAAAATTTTGCTGAGCATTTGCTTAGGGATATGCTAATTAATTAACAGAAACAAATAGGGACCCCGCAAGACAACCCCACGCATTTATGAAATGTTGCTATACGAAGGGGTGGCATTGCTGGCCTTCGGAGAAAGGGTGTAATTTTCCATCAGTGGTGCTGACACACCTGGTTACCCACGTGGAAAAAATGAAGGCGGACCCCTGTCTCACAGCCTGCACCGATTTAATTCTGATGGCTTAGATACTTAACAGCGAAAGACCAAATTAAACCCTAAATTTTCAACCGTTAGGAAGCTTGCCTATGGCCTCAGAACAGGGAAGAGTTTATTCAACAAGACACCCAAAGCCTATGTCGTAAACAAAAGGATTGATCAAGTCCACCACATTGAAATTAATAGTTTTTACCTAAGTGGCATCAGAAAGGAAAAGATATTTTCAAAACAGAACTGACAAAAGGACTAGTAAAAAAAAAAAAAAAATACAGGGTGGGGCAAACGTGAGTTTACAGTCGTTTGTATGGAAAATAATACAATAATTAATAACACAAGAATAAACTCCATTTCACACACTCCCAACTGTAAACCTACGTTTGCCCCACCGTGTATACGAAGAACGCTTAATGACAAATAGGGGGGAGAAGTGTAAAGGATATAAACAGTCATTTCACTGCATTGCAAAGAAAATGGCCAATAAACAGTTTTAAAAGATGCACCGCGTCGTTGTTAATCTGGGAAGTGAAAATTAAGGCCACAAGTCATTTCGCAGCCACCCACTTGAAAGAGCCGCGGGCTCGAGTCTCAGGCGAGCAGCAGGGACTCGGCTGTGCTGCGGGTAGGAGTGACAATGGAGACAACCAAACCGGCAGAACGCTTCAGCTCCACATCAAGAAATTGAAGTCGTCCGTGTTTTACCGCCTGGGGCTTGGGTGTCACTGGTCAAACGCTGAGAAGTGGATGGCTTTCTGGAGAAAGTGCTCCGGGTTTTGGACAGGTGACAAATGGACAGATGGAAGTAGTGCCTGTGTCCTTGTAATGAATGACCAGGCAGGGGCCCAGGAGACTTCTAAACTCTCAAGTCTTATTTTCATATCAAAAAAACAAAAACATATAACTTGCCACAAAACCAGTGGAACTGAAAACCATCGGCAGGCTTATCAAAGAAGGAAATTCTGGCCCGTGCCACTGTGCGGATGACCCTTGAAGACATACTAAGTGAAATAAGCCAAATACGGAGAGGCAGATCCCGTATGATTTCGCTTACAG